ATGCCATCATTAGGTCGAATGGCTTTATTTTTATGTAACCACGTAATTCTGATTGGCAAATCTCCTTTGAATACAGTGCACTGAAGAGAAGCCACATCCCCTGAGTTTACCGACTCTTCTCCAAAATCGAAAGGCAAAATCTGTGGCGCAACTGTAATAAGTTACAATCACATTCTAACAATAAATGAAGATTTGAGGCCCATGTCATCACTCATCACCAGATGAGTTTCCAAGTATGAGTGTTATAGTCAATGGTCAAAAGTAGGAAAAGGGTTCTTAAGTAAAGGTAACAAACAACTTAAGATGGATTAAGTAAAGTACCGTTCACACGTAACGTTGAAGACTGTCGACCTTCTCCTGCTGCATTCGTTGCTACACAAGAATATTCTCCTGCATGTTCTGCCTGTACTGATTCTATACTCAAAGTACTCAACCTCTTATTAACAAGACTAACAACAACCCCATTCCCATGATCGACTGTTTTTCCATTAAAAATCCAGAAAATCGTCAAGGGTAAATCACCTTTACTAACTGAGCACGAGGCAGATGTCATATCGTCGGAATTAAATTGATCGTCGCCAAAATCGAAGGGTAAAATTTGTGGTGGGACTGGGAAGGAAAAACACGATTAAAATTGTAACCATACCGTTAACATTTAAGTAGGCAGAAAAATCAATGACGCCGGCCTTATTCTTTGCGATACATTTATATTCTCCACTGTGATGGGCTTGAACCGATTCTATAGTAAGCTGACTGACTCTTTTATTGGTACTTAAGACTGTAATCCCGTCGACATTATCAAGTGGTTTATTATTAAGTGACCAACGAATAGTAATAGGGAAATCTCCTTTGCTAACAGCACAAGTGGCAATTACTAAGTCACCAGAATTGATAGCTTCGTCGCCAAAGTCGAAAGGATGTATTTGAGGCGGGACTGGAAAATAAAAACTACTAAAGAAACTACATAAAAACAATAGATAACACAGGTGTTTAGGTACCGTTAACGTTCAAAACGGCTGAGTAACTAGTAGATCCAGCTTTATTCACAGCGGTACATGTGAACATCCCTGTGTGTATTGCTTCAACCGATTCTATACTCAAGCTGCTAATTCTTTTGTTGATTTGGGAAATGGTTACTCCAGAAATATCACTAATCGATTGATTGTTAAGAGCCCATGAGATCGTTATAGGAAAATCACCTTTGATGACAGCACACTGCACCGTTGTCATGTCACCAGAATTGACAGGTTCGTCGCCAAAATCGAATGGCATAATTTGAGGAAGCACTATAGGATAAACAAGACTAGGTGTAAAAAGAGAAAAACTAAAAATAGACACAAATAAAGCATAAAATACCATTTACGTTCAAATAAGTCTTAAATTCAGTTTTTCCAAAACCATTCTCCGCGATACATTTATATTCTCCAGAATGATGGGCTCGCACCGCTTCTATAGTAAGCTGACTGGCTCTCTTGTTGGTGTTCATTGTAATGATACCATCAAAAGTGTCAATGGGTTGATTGTTTAACGTCCAATAAATTTTAATGGGGAGATCTCCTTTAATAACCGCGCATGTGGCTATAATAACGTCACCAGAATTGATGGCTTCATCACCGAAGTCAAAAGGATGAATCAGGGGCGGAACTGCAAGGGTTATTGTACTCAAAATACAAAAATCAAGGGAGTTAAAGCGGTTAAAATGCAATGCAAATACCGTTAACGTTTAAAAAAGTCGAAAATTCGGCAACACCGGCTTTGTTTTTTGCAAGACATTTGTATTCTCCTCTGTGGTGGTTCTGCGCAGACTCAATGGTAATTTGGCTGCCTCTTTTATTGGTGTTAATAGCAGTAATACCGTCAAAGTGGTCTATAGGTTTGTTGTTAAAAGTCCACTGAATTGTGATGGGTAAATCGCCTTTTGATACCAAGCAACTAGCCATGACAACGTCGCCTGAATTGATGGCTTCTGCTCCAAAATCGAATGGATGGATCTGAGGTGGTACTATAAAACGAAAGTACTGTGGGTAAAAGTGGCACCAACTACAATCGCCAAGTCCAGAGAGGATGAAACTAGCACAGAAGACAAAAAGTCACACATGGTTTTATAAATATTCTAAGGAAAAGGTAGGTTCAAGGATTGTTTTTGAAAACAAATAAAAATCCAACCAATACCATTAACATTTAAGATGGCTGAAAATTCCGCAACACCAGCCTTATTTTCTGCTAAACATTTGTATTCTCCTCTGTGATGATCCTGTACTGATTCGATAGTAATTTGGTTCGCTCTTTTGTTAGCGTTCGTGGTACTAATACCATCTAATTCATTGACAGGCTTATTGTTCAAAGTCCATCGCATTGTAACCGGTAAATCACCCTTTGTAATCAAACACGTAGCCATAACTATATCACCAGAATTACTTGCCTCTTCCCCAAAATCAAACGGGTGTATTTGAGGTGGTACTGCAAAATGATTTAGTGATAGAATAAATAAAACTCTGGAAACCTTGGACCAAAAACCCAATGAGACTTCCTGGTAAAAGCTGATAAAGGAGTTAACGTTAAAAAAAATGTGGTACTCTAAAACGAGAATACTGTAGATAAAAATGGCACCAAATACAATCAGTAAAAGATGGTACTTCATTCTTTTTGAGGATAAGGTGGACTAAAGGATTGTTTTTGAAAGCAAACAAAAATCAAACCAATACCATTAACATTTAAAAACGCTGAAAATTCCGCGACCCCAGCTTTATTTTCAGCTAAGCATTTGTATTCTCCTCTATGATGATGTTGTACCGACTCTATAGTTATTTGGTTTGCTCTTTTGTTCGTGTTCATGGTACTAATACCGTCTAATTCATTGACAGGCCTATTGTTCATCGTCCAACGAATTTTAATCGGTAAATCACCCTTTGTAACTAAACACGTTGCCATAACTATATCACCAGAATTACTAGCTTCTTCCCCAAAATCAAATGGATGTATTTGAGGTGAAACTGAAAAATGATATAGTGATAAAATAAACAAAAACCTCGACACCTTGACCAAAAATCCAATGAGAATTCCTAGCACACATAAGGTAAGCTGATTAAAGGAGTTAAGGGTAAATGAGAAATTCATAGGAATTGTTCTAAAAATTTAAGCAAAATTTAACCAAAGTACCATTAACATTCAAAAATGCTGAAAATTCTGCAACACCGGCTTTGTTTTTCGCTATACATTTATATTCTCCCCTGTTATAGTCCTGTACTGATTCGATGGTAATTTGATTGCCCCGTTTATTCGTACTAATAGTAGTAATACCATCAAAACGGTCAATAGGTTTGTTATTGAAAGTCCATTCAATAGTGATGGGCAAATCACCCTTCGTTACCAGACAGACAGCCATAACAACGTCACCCGAGTTGATGGCTTCTTCTCCAAAATCGAACTGATGAATTTGAGGTGGTACTATAAAATACAAGTATATACTACGTTTGCACGAGTACGACCACTCAAAACCGAAAGTTTCAATCATAGAAGACAAAGTAAGAACTAAAATCCAATAGAAACTAAATGGGGGAATGTTGTAGGGTTTAGGCATGAGGTATAGCTAAAAATTATTGAGTTGCTAAAACATAGAGGTACCGTTAACTTTTAAAAACGTTGAAAATTCCGCAACACCAGCCTTGTTTTCCGCTAAACACTTGTATTTTCCTATGTGATAATCTTGTACAGATTCTATAGTAATTTGACTTGCTTTTTTATTTGTGTTCATAGTACTAACACCGTCTAATTCATTTATCGGTTTATCATTTATACTCCATCGAATTGTAACAGGTAAATCACCCTTGGCCACAAAACACGTTGCTATAACGGTGTCACCAGAATTAATTGCTTCTTCTCCAAAATCAAACTGATGTATTTGAGGTGGTACTGAAAACCGTAATTTAACAATGAAGACTATAAAAATCAATCCACATGATAATTCATAACACAAGGTAAAAGATCTGATCACAGCTAGTTTAAGGGTAAAATCAAGGTTATGTGAGGTTGGTTTTTAGAAGCTAAAACGTCAAAAAGTACCATTAACATTCAAAAATGTTGAAAATTCTGTAACTCCGGCCTTATTTTCGGCGACACATTTGTACTGTCCACTGTGATGGGCTTCCGCCGACTCTATTGTAAGTTGACTAACCCTTTTGTTCGTGTTGGATATACTTATACCATCGAACTGACCAATGGGCTTATTATTTAACATCCAATGAACTTTAAGTGGGAAATCACCTTTAGTTATTACACACGTGGCAATAACTATATCACCAGAATTACTTGCTTCCTCCCCAAAATCAAATGGATGTATTTGAGGTGATACTGAAAAATGATATAGTGATAAAATAAATAAAAATCTTTAAATCCCGACCAAAAATCCAGTGAGAATTCCTAACACATACAAGGTAAACTGATCGAAAGGGTTAAGGGTAAATAAGAGATTTATGGGAATGGTTTTTAAAATTTAAGCAAAATGTAAATATGGTACCATTAACATTCAAAAATGCTGAAAATTCTGCAACACCGGCTTTGTTTTTCGCGACACATTTATATTCTCCTCTGTGGTGGTCCTGTACTGAATCGATAGTAATTTGGTTACCCCTTTTATTCGTGTTGATAGTAGTAATACCATCAAATTGACCAATGGGTTTGTTATTGAAAATCCATTTAATTGTGATGGGCAAATCACCCTTCGTTACGAAACAGACGGCCATAACAGCATCACCTGAGTTGATGGCTTCTTCTCCAAAATCAAACTGATGAATTTGAGGCGGTACTATAAAATACAAGTGTATACTAAGTTTGCACTAGTTCGATCACCCAAAATCCAAAATTTCAATCACAGAAGACAAAATAAGAACTAAAACCCAACAAAGACTGGAATAGATTAATCTAGTAAGCAATCGGGGGGATGTTGTAGGGTTTAGGCATTAGGTATAGTTAAAAATTGAGTTGTTAAAACATAGAAGTACCGTTGACTTTTAAAAACGTTGAAAATTCCGCAACACCAGCCTTGTTTTCCGCTAAACACTTGTACTCTCCAATGTGATAATTTTGTACAGATTCTATAGTAATTTGGCTTGCCCTTTTATTTGCGTTCATGGTACTAACACCGTCTAATTTATCGATCGGTTTATCATTGATACTCCATCGAATTGTAATAGGTAAATCACCCTTGGCCACAAAACACGTTGCCATTACGGTATCACCAGAATTAATTGCTTCTTCTCCAAAGTCAAACTGATGTATTTGAGGTGGTACTGAAAACCGTAATTTAACAATCAAGACTATAAAAATCCATCCACTTGATAATTCATAACACAAGGTAAAAGATCTGATCACAGCTGGTTTAAGGGTAAAATCAGGGTTATGTGAGGTTGGTTTTTAGAAGCTAAAACGTCAAGAAGTACCATTAACATTCAAAAATGTTGAAAATTCGGAAACTCCGGCCTTGTTTTCGGCGACACATTTGTACTGTCCACTGTGGTGGGCTTCCGTCGACTCTATTGTAAGTTGACTAACCCTTTTGTTCGTGTTGGATATACTTATACCATCGAACTGACCAATCGGCTTATTATTTAACATCCAATGTACTTTAAATGGGAAATCACCTTTAGTTATTATACACGTGGCAATAACTATATCACCAGAATTAACTGTTTCTTGTCCAAAATCAAATGGATTGATTTGAGGTGGTACTGAAATATGATACATCGTAGACAATAAAGAAAAAAAAAAAACGACACGGAATTATTAAAGACGAATCTTTACAGGGATAAAGTAACTGGTTGGGTTATAGTAGAACAGTGTAGGCGAACATATGGTAACAGTACCATTAACATTCAAAAACGCAGAGAATTCAGTTACGCCAGCTTTATTTTTTGCCACACACTTGTATTCTCCTCTATGATGCGCCTGCGCGGACTCTACAGTTAACTGACTAGCTCTGGTGTTGGTATTCACAGCGCTAACTCCATCGAATTGACCAATGGGTTTATTATTTAGCGTCCAGTGTATAGCAATGGGCAAATCGCCTCTCGGTACTAAACAAATTGCCATCACTATATCACCCGAATTGACCGCTTCTTCCCCAAAATCGAAAGGGTGAATTTGAGGTGGAACTGGAAGTTAAAACAATGCAGACAATGCAACAAAAATAAAACAAAAATAATGCACAAACACGTCAATTAAAAGTACCATTGACATTCAAATACGTGGCAAATTCGGCCGTTCCAGCCCTATTCTCTGCAATACATCTATACTCTCCAGCAAGATGATGTTCAACTGATTCGATAGTAAGCTGACTAGCGCGTTTATTATTCATAATACTAATGGTCCTGAAATCGCTAAGTGCTTGATTGTTGAGTGTCCAATGAATCTTAATAGGAAAATCACCTTTAGTAACGGCACAAGTGGCGACGACAGCGTCGCCCGAATTGACGGCTTCGTCTCCAAAATCGAAAGGATGTATTTGGGGCGGGACTGGAAACCAAAGCAAGCAACACTACACTACACAAGCCAAGTACCGTTCACATTTAAAACGGCGGAATGACTGACAGATCCAGCTTTATTTACAGCGATGCAGGTATAGTTCCCGGAGTGTTGTGCATCAACTGACTCTATACTCAAAGTGCTTATTCTTTTGTTGGTTTGGGATACAGTGACACCCGGAAAATCGTCTACGAACCGTGTATTCAACTTCCAAGTTATTGTTATGGGGAAATCTCCTTTGGTGACGGCGCATTGAGTGGTGGCCATGTCGCCGTAATTTACGGATACTTCGCCAAAGGCAAATGGTACGATCTGAGGTGGTACTGGAAGCAACCGAAATATAAAGATTTGAGAAAAAACAAACGTAAAGATGCAAATAAAGGTCACTGAGTGGTGACCATGTTTCCGTTATCGGGAAATGGTACGATCTGGAGTGGTACTGGAAGTAACGGTTTGGGAAAAAACAATTCAAATATAGAAAAAAGTAAAGGTCACCATTAACGCGCAAGTATGACGAGAAACTCGTATTTCCAGCTTTGTTGGACGCTATGCAGGTGTATTCGCCGGCGTGGTGGGCTTGAACGTCGTCGATGGTCAACTGACTAACTCGTTTTTTGGTCTGCATGACGTTAATCCCTTCGATACTAGTCACAGGCTTATCGTTAAGTTTCCAAGAAATTTTAATAGGTAGATCGCCCTTGATTACAGCACAAGTGACAAGAGCCATTTCGCCAGAGTTTATAGACTCATCACCAAATTCAAATGGATGGATTTGTGGGGAAACTATAAAGAACACAAAAATATAAAACTACTAGAAAAAAGAAAAGTGTTTTAGAATCTAGAACAGGTACCATTGACGTTTAAAACTGCTGAATGACTGCTTGTTCCCGCTTTGTTTTCGACAGTACATATATATTTTCCAGCGTGCATGGCTTCGACTGAATCTATACTCAAAGTATTCAATCTTTTACTCATCTGAACAACTGTAATTCCATCTAAAGTTTGAATGGGTTTTCCATTAAAACTCCATCTTATTTTTAAAGGAATATCTCCTTTAGAAACGGCGCAATTCACAGTTGCTATGTCTCCAGAGTTTGTGGTTTCTTCGTCGAAAGCAAATGGTACGATCTGGGGTGGTACTAAAAGTAACGGAAAGACGTAGGTTTGGGAAAAAACAAACGCAAAAGTACAAAGAAGTAAAGGTACCATTAACGCGCAAGTATGACGAGAAACTCGTATTGCCAGCTTTGTTAGAAGCTATGCAGGTGTATTCGCCGGCGTGGTGGGCTTGGACGTCGTCGATAGTCAACTGACTAACTCGTTTTTTGGTTTGCATTATATTAATGCCCTCGACATTTTCTACAGGTCGACTATTGAGCCTCCAGGCAATTTTTACTGGTAGATCGCCTTTAATCACAGCGCAATAGACAATAGCCATCTCTCCGGAATTGACAGATTCGTCACCGAATTCAAATGGATGAATTTGTGGGGAAACTATAAATAAAATAAGAACATAAAAGTACTACAAGAAAGAGGGGATCTTAGAATCTACAACAGGTACCATTAACGTTCAGAACTGCCGAATGACTGATCGTCCCCGCTTTATTTTTGGCAGTACACATATAGTTTCCAGCGTGCATGGCTTCAACCGAGTCTATGCTCAAAGTACTCAGTCTTTTACTCATTTGACCAACTGTAACTCCGTCTACAGTTTGAATGGGTTTCCCATTAAAGGTCCATTGTATTTTCAAAGGAAAATCTCCTTTAGAAACGGCACAATTCACAGTTGCCATGTCTCCAGAGTTTGTACTTTCTTCACCAAAGTCGAAGGGTACTATCTGAGGTGGAACTGATTTGGTGATAAAAAATAATAATAATAAGGGTGGACAAGTACAAGAAATATACATGTGTAAATTAGAAATACCATTAATAAATAATGAGGTTACAAAAGTTGTTGTAGCAGCTCGGTTACTCGCCAAACAGGTGTAGTTCCCTACATGATTTCTTTGGACGTTATCGATGCTCAAGGTACTAACTCTTTTAGACACTCTGTTGATAACAATTCCCTCATTTTTTTCCACAGATCTTCCATTTAACGACCACGTGATTTTCAGAGGGTAATCTCCCTTTGACACCGTACACTGAACCGACACACCATCTCCTTCATTCACGGAATCCTCACCGAAATCGAAAGGGATAATTTGAGGTGGAACTGGACACAGAAACATAAGCAAACTTCAACCCACCATTTATATACAAGTCGGCGAAAAAAGTACTACTTCCTGCAGGATTAGATGCTAAACAAGTGAAGCGTCCTGCATGTTCCGCTTGTGCAGAGTCAATCGTTAATATGCTAACACGTTTCAAATGACTAATAATGATACCATGAGACTCGTCAACAGTTCGATTATTTAAAGTCCACGTGATATTCAATGGATTGTCTCCTTTAGAAACTGTACACTGAATCGAGACGGTATCTCCTTCGTTGACCGGACCTTCTCCAAAATCGAACGGCAAAATCTGGGGTGGTACTGTAAAATTGTTGGTTAAAGGGAAGCTGTGCATCGGGTTACAAAGGCTGAGTCAGATGTGTAGTACCGTTAACGGTTAAGTAGGCCGAATGGCTATTTGAACCGGCGAGATTGGTAGCAGTGCATGTGTATTTTCCCGAGTGAACTGCTTGTACTGAATCTACATTGAGAGTACTAAACCTTTTCATCTTCATGACAACGACTCCTTCGTTCTCTCCTATTGGACGTTCGTTGAGGCTCCAAGTGAGATTCAGAGGGGAGTCTCCTTTGAGTACCGTGCACTGCACCGAGACGGTTTCTCCGGAATTGATCGGTTCATCCCCGAACGTGAACGGGAAAATTTGAGGAGATACTGAAGATTTTTTGGTATAGGTAAATACACAAGGTTCGACTTACAAAAATTAAAATCAAAACTAAGACTAGCAAACTGTACCATTAACATCTAGAAAGGCAACGTATTTGGATTTCCCAGCCGCGTTTGTAACGACACAGGCGTATTCGCCTTTGTGGTGAGACTCGACTGAATTAATATTAAGAATACTGGCTTGACTGCCGAATGAAGAGATAGAAATTCCTCGAGTATGATGTGTAATGTGTCTGCCATTAAAAAACCATTTGATTTTAAGGGGACGATCGCCTTTGGGAACGTAACACGTCAGAACGGCGGTGTCGCCGGCATTTAATGGACCATCGAACTGAAAAGGACTTATAATAGGTGCCACTGTAAAAAAAATTCAACGGGACAAAATAACACATGGGCCTCTTCTGTGAAATGTATACAACAAAATGAACAATACCAAAAATGAGTTTGTTACAAATGGTGATTTTAGCTGGAATAAAAGCATGAATCTACACTCACGTCTTACCTTACGCTGGAACCCTACGCTCTGAAAGAAATACAACTACTTAATAATATATACGCGCTGCTGGTCAAGTGAAAACGACAAAATTCATCCGATGAGACTGTAAATTTAGTCAAGCGTCGACAAGTAGTAACACACAACATCACGTAACATAATACTCTCCTACTGCCACAAACCGCAAAACCCTATATAGTACGCACAACATACCATCGCTCTTACTATTTCTTTATAAAAATGCTTATTTATATATATCATATAAATTCATATCGGTGTAATCACTGAAAAACAAAAAGACGTATCAAAACCATATTTTTGAAAAAAACACTTAATATCATTTCCGAAACAACCGAACGTGATACACCGCTAAAACTATATTAATTTTACATCGTTTTATGTCTCAATTTATCAATCCAAATTTCAGACTTTTATTTTTTCAAATAATGGAATGGAATCAAAATGGAAAACGTAAACTAAGACGCCGCTATTTAACATTTTTTAAAACATTAATCCAAATGAATGAGTCATTAACAGTTCATATAATGCACTTAAAAACATACTACATATATAGTATCTAATTGAAAAGAAAAGGTTGATGTCATTATTGACAAAAGCAAAGGTTATATAGTGCTACTCGAATATTAATTTTATAAATTTCTTACTGACTTAATGCGCTTATATTTTGACAACATTTATTAATTTTTTAATATTACGAAATATCATACGATCGAGAAAAAAACGTCGTTAACAACCTTGGAAATTTAATGTTAAAAAAATAAGTTGGTAACGAAACGTGTTCCTTCTTTCTGTTAATTAATTTGACATTTACGGTCACTTAACAGTCAAATAAAGTGTCAAGGAACTACGATACCAACATAGTTATTTTAAAAACAAAAACAAAATAAATTTAGTGGTTTACTAGACCACTTTTTCGGTTGTATGGTACTAAATACACTATCCAGAGCCAAATAAGATTTTTTTATTATGTCACGTATATTTTTTATGTGTATGTTCACATTCTCATTGTATTATTCGCCTTCTATGATTCTGCGGGAACTTTACAAGGTGCTCACGTCAGGGTTAAAATAAAATAAAAAGTCGTTCTACGTGTTAGTTTTAACTATTAACCACACACCATACCTTAGAGACTCGAAATCAATAAGCCAAAGACGATAACTTCGCATTTAACTACGCATGCGTGTATGCATTGCGAATAAGTCATATCATAGTGCATAATTTTTTTTATTAATTAATTTCTATAACCTCTATAGCTTTTATAATGGCATTGATTGTATTCTCTTTATCTTCATTACCAAAAAGCATTGTTTCTGAACTTAATTCAAACAACAGACGTGTCTCACTCTCATCATGAAAATATTTTATGAACTGTTTATTGGGATTAATTTAATTCCCAGTTATGCGAAGGCGTGCTATTTTTATTATACACCCTGTCATAATTCCACACATTAAGTTAAACGTTTACACGCATTAATCCTATACCGTTCCTACAACATGTGGCAGTAGGTAACTAAAAAACCAAAACCTACTCACCCATCACTTGCACTTCCAAGGAACTCCTAGCGCTGTATCCTTGTGAGTTCTTTGCGACGCAATCATAAGTAGCTTGGTCAGAGGCGCGTTCGACATTCTCGATAATAAGAGTACCATTAGGGAAAACCTTCTGCTTCCTGTTGATAGGTAACAACCTTCCGTCTACAACACATACATTACTCAAAAACCCTAAAAGTCCTCCGACCCACCTCTCTCCCAGACAACAGTTTCGACCGGATGCCCAGCGAATGGACAATGCACAATCAAAGTTCCGCCAGCTACAATCGCTTGTTTTTCCATAGAACGTACGAAGGGCAAACCGTAGACGTTAATCCTGGCGGAGTGATCAGCTGATCCCACTTTGCTGCTGGCGACGCACCTGTAAAGTCCTCCGTCGTTGGTGTGAATGGCGCTGATGTTGAGATGCGATACGACGTCTCCGTTCACGGTTACGTATTGTCCAATCTGGTTTCTCTCGTTGTTGGTTAATCGCCGTCCGTAGAGTTCCCAGGTAATTTCAGGAGTGGGATTACCCGAAGCGATGCACTTCATGAAAACGGAATTGCCGGGCTGAACGGTTTCTTCGTTGAAAGCGTGTCGGATCTGTGGGGGCTCGAAACGTCCTCCTAGTTTCAGTTCGGCGGTGGCTTCGGCGTTTTCTTGGTCGTTCCGGATGAAGCACTGGTACATGCCTTTGTCTTCCTTGCGTACTGATTCGATACGGAGAACGGCGTCGGTGTGGTCGATTGGGTGGCCATCTTTCAACCAGCTGATTGTCTTGATTGGGTTTCCTGGTGGACAGAAACCAATATTGGTTTAGTTAATTGTGGGGTTTCGCAAGAAAACATTATGGATCCTCTTCTACTTTATATTAAATAAATTTGTTCGCATTATCTCCACTAAACTACAGTTCCTTCGATTATTGAATATGTAAGCAAAGTATGGTCACCACAATATTACTACTTATATCAGAACGACTGAAAAAATTCTAATCGGAAAATGGGTTTTAACAATAATGAATATACCAACAAATTAGTGATATTTGAAGTTTAGTTTCTTTCCAAACATGTAGAACGAAAGCTGATTTAGTTTTTATGAAAAAGTTATTTAATGGTAATATTGACCGTTCTGAATTTTTAGGTTTATTTGTATTAATTGACCCACAAGAATGTTACAAAGCAATCCGGTTTTTCGCACCAAGCTCCACATGACCAACTATGGATTCTTTTCACCACTGGCGACGATGTCACGAATTGTGAATACACATAATGGCGTTATTGAAATTTTTAGTGTCCCTGAACAACCTTACGGTATCTCCCTTTAAAATGAAATTTTAACATGAATGATCTTCCACAATGCGTAGACAAAATGTTTGTATCGATTTATGTATTTCTTTCTTGTGATATATTGTACCGGGCGATTTTTTAAATTTCTGCTTTAGTTTCCCCGCGTCATGGGTAATTAGAACAGAAATAAAAAAAATCACCCGAAATTAATCAGATTTACTGTAATTAATAGAGGGGTCTGGTGTCCAATAACCAACCTTCAAAGTTGCAAGTGAAAACTGCAGGTCTTCCAAAATCGATAGTCTGGACTTGGGGTTCGATTTTAGCTTTCAGGGGAGCCGTGACGGTTAAAACAGTTTCGACGCTTTCACCTCCAACGGAGTTGTTTACAACACATAGGTACTTTCCGGAGTCTTCTACGCGTGCTTCACGAATGATGAGTGTTCCGGCGACTTGTTTGACCCTGTCGTTGAGAGTTACAGCTTGCTTGCGAGTGGTGCCTTCGACGAATTTGTACCACCTGTAACAACAGAGAAGGACCATAGTAACAAAAAAAACTAAAATAAGGCAAAACAACAAAAACCCAGAAGCATCTACTAACTGGTAAGGATTTTACCTAAATAATGGAACGGGGAAAGACTGAGCAGGGCAGAAAGCCACAGCCGTTTCGTTTAATTTTGATACCCTTATATCAATCGTTCGGGAAACGAGTTGGGGTCTAACAAATCCCGTCGGTTCTGCAAAATGAAGAAAAGTAGAAGAAACGGTACCTGACTGTCGGAACCCTTTGTTATTTGTTCAACAGTACCTTTTTATCGGTGCAGGGTACGACTGTGCATCGCATAGAAGAGCGATGTGGTGTGAACTATGAGCGAGTTTCTTATTTAAACCGTCTCCTGATAGGGTAGGAGCGGTGAGACCAGTAGGTTCTATAAGAAAAACGAGACGTAAGAGTCAGTACCTGAATTTGGGGATAGGAAAACCAGAAACTTCACAAGTTATTATGATATCTTGAGTCAGAGGTACGTCGAAGACTATGCTACCATCGATTTTCCGACCGGACGCTTTCGGAGGTACGTTGTTCGTCGGTTCTATGGAAAAGTTTGTTTAGAAATGTAAAGGGGTGGGGGAACTGTTCTAAACTATGGGTACATCAAACTTACTTAAATACCGGATACGGAAAACCAACGACTGGACACAAAATTACACCATCGCTATTTTCGGGGAAAGATGTGATCTTCCATGGAGTTTTCTCACCCACAAGTTTTGGTGGTAAATTATTAGTGGGTTCTGAAAAGAACCAGCAATTAGGATTCTGGTGATTTGTAGGCGTGTAACAAGCGAATCGTGATAGGAAAAAGCAATCAAACTTTTAAACTAAACAATGCAGAATCCTATGCTGGTTCATGCAATGCACTTACCTTTCCTAGAGGCCGACTATGACTGACCTAAGTACTTACATGTATCTAGGGACGGGGTAACCAGTAACTTGGCACGTTAACCAAGCGGTGTTGTTTTGTTTGACTAGAAGAACTTTCCACCCTTCAAATTTTTCACCGTCCCTTTTTGGCGGTACGTTATTTGTGGGTTCTAGAAGATAGGGAACCAAAAAATGACGGTGAAAATTTGGTTAACGTCAAAAGCTGAACACAGTTACTTACATATATCTCGGGACAGGGTAACCGGTCACTTGACAAGTTAACCACGCGGTACTAAGGTTCGCAACATTTACAATCTGATGGCCTTCAAATCGTACGAGATCCTTTTTAGGAGGAACATTATTTGTAGGTTCTGGAATATCATTCAAAAAATGAACGGGATACCAGAGACTAATACTAGCACTTTCAAAATTTTTGGACGGAATTACAACTTACATAAAACGCGGTGCTGGATAACCGCTGACTTGGCAAGTTAACCATGCAACACCACCGTTGGGAACATTTAAAACCCGCCAACCTCCAAATTCAGCCCCCACTTTCTTGGGAGGAACATTATTTGTAGGTTCTGCAAAGGGCCATACATTTATTCACGTTTGAACGAAAACCAAAACTACCTAAATGATGGTATAGGGAGTACCAAGAAACGAAAAAACTTACATAAAACGTGGTACCGGATAACCGCTGACTTGACAAATTAACCATGCATCGCTATTATTCACAACATTTAGGACACGAAAGCCGAATTCGGCTCCGACCTTCTTGGGAGGGACATTATTTGTAGGTTCTGTAACGGTTCAAAGAACAGTGTTTACTGCATGCGAAAAACAAAATTAAAGTACCTAAATAATGGTACAGGGAATGCCACAACCGGACACATCAAAAAAATCGTTTCGGTGATGTTTTCTGACACCAATGTGAAACCAAATTTCTTGTCTAAAGCTTTTGGGGCTATGTTATTCGTTGGTTCTGTAAAATGTATTGGTATGTAATTTTACCTGTAGAGAGGAACTGGGTACCCCACTACGTCACAAGTAAGAAAGGCTGTTTTGTTCTGAGGATGGATAAATATAACACCTCCTTCGTATTTCTTTCCGGGAACTTTGGGAGCAATTTTACTCGTAGGTTCTATAAATGGAGGTATTAATGAGCATCGGAATGAGTAAGATAGAGGAGATAGGATACCCTTAAGTACAAGCAAAAATGATCGGCAATCAAATAAAAAGAAAGTTGTAAAGGTTACGAAACTTACACGTATCGAGGAACAGGATATCCTGTCACTTGACACGTTAACCAAGCCGTTTCCGAATTTTGAACATCAATCTGATGACCCTCAAATCTACCAAAATCCTTTTTCGGAGGGACATTGTTAGTAGGTTCTAAAATATTGCTTCGTTTACCACAAGCACATAATTTTCATAACATCTCCTAACACTAAAAATAATCATGCTACATGCTAAAAAAACATCTCAAGTACCTAATCAAAGGTACCGGAAAGGCAACAACTGGACACATCAGAAAAACTGTGCTATTCACATCATTCGAGACTAAAGTAAAACCGATTTTCTTATCTATAGCTTTAGGAGCTATGTTATTTGTAGGTTCTGAAAAACGAAAAGTAAATAACAGGTAATAAAAATTTACCTGTACAAAGGAACAGGGTAACCCACTACATCGCATCTGAGAAAAACTGTACTATTTTGAGGACTGATCAAAATTTTTCCTCCTTCGTATTTTTCGCCGGGAACTTTCGGAGCAATTTTGCCAGTGGGTTCTAGAACGTCCACTCGGGATTAGCACATGGGGAAAAACAAAAGGTACCCTTGCTAAACGTGCAGACAATTACCTGTAGATGGGAGCAGGAAAACCTTGTGCTGCGCACAGAAGAGGCACCGTTTGCCCAGCTGGAGAAAAGTTTTTAAGACCAGAGATGGACTTGTCTTTTGCGGTAGGTGCGACGCTGGTTTGTGGTTCTATTTCAAACGAAAAATAGAAACTTAATTTGTGTACCTGAATAAGGGAGCTGGATATCCTTGCGCTTGACATAGTAAACCAAAACCTTGACCGACTGCTCTAATATACGTCGAGCTGACAGCATCGTTAGAGAACGACGGTGCTTTGGACCCTATTGGTTCTATTTACAAAATTTAGTCAGATTTTGATTTAACGTACCTGAATAGTGGAATAGGTTGGGCCTGAGCTGGACAAAGCAGAGCAAAACTTTGGCTTTGACGTCTTTCAAATGTAAAACTTTTTGAATCCGAAGAAAATGTAGGGGGTTTTGAAGCGACTGGTTCTAAACATGGATATAACGTTAGAAACAGCTTCAAACTTACCTGAAAATCGGTATAGGATAGGCTTGAGCTTGACATAATAAGCCAAAACTTTGGTTAACATTGCGTGTATAGGATGTGCTTGTAGCATCATTCGGGAAAGTGGGCGGTTTAAACCCGATGGGTTCTGGGCATAAAAGACAAAATTACTATTGGTGTGTGTACAGTACCTGAACATTGGAACCGGGAGGGCTTGTGCCGGGCACAGGAGCACAAAACCTACTCCTTGATGTACCACGTAAGTAAAACTTTTCGATAAAGACGAAAAAGATGGCGGCTTAAGACCAATTGGTTCTATCCACAACAAAAATGACAACATGTTTCGATAAAAACAAAACAGTAGCAACAATACCTGAACATTGGAACTGGTTGAGCTTGCGCTGGACACAAAAGCACAAAACCTTTTCCTTCGTGTACATCATAAGAGAAAATTTTTGACAGCGACGAAAAAGATGGAGCTTTGAGACCAACGGGTTCTGCGCGAAATAAAAAAGCGTCAGTAAAATAGTACCTGAATGAAGGGAAAGGAAAAGCTTGAGCTGGGCACAATAGAGCCAAACTGTGGTCTGACTCGCGTCGGTAACCTATCATCTGTACATCATTGGAAAAAGCTGGAGCTTTAGTTCCAATTGGTTCTATGAATAGAAAATTTGTCCCATAACACACAACACTACTTCAAATCAGTAAAAATACCTGAATGAGGGGAAAGGGAAGGCTTGAGCCGGGCACAACAAAGCGAAACTGTGTCCTGCTTCTCGTTGATAACCCATTATTTTAAGATCGTTAGAAAACGCCGGAGCCTTAGTTCCAATAGGTTCTAACAATAACACAATAACAAAAACAGTAATACGTGAAAAGTCACCTGAATGAGGGTACAGGGAATCCTTGCGCTTGACAAAACAGCGGTATTTCCGAATTGACCTCTCTTTCGACGTATTTCAGTTTCGAATCAGCTAATAATTTAGGCGCGCGACTTCCCACGGGCTCTGAATTAATAACAAACCATTAAAAATTTGTAAATACCTGAATGTCGGCGTAGGAAACCCCTGCGCTTGACACAATAAAGTAAGACTATGTCCTGACACTTTCTGAATGGTGATTCCTTTAACGTCAGAGAGGAAACTCGGACCTCTCAACCCAATAGGTTCTAAATTCGAAAAAACAAATGACTAAAACATTTACCTAAAAGCGGGTGTGGGATAACCCTGTGCTTGACAAAGCATGGCTAAATCGTTGCCTTTGAACTCATCGAACGAAATTAATTTGATGTTTGTGAGAAACTTCGGAGCGCGTGTACCCACAGGTTCTACAAACAACAAAATACTAACCTAAAAAACGGGACGGGATACCCTTGCGCGGGACAGACAACGGCCAAAGACGAATTCTCGTTGTAAGCGATCACGTCGTACTTTGAATGGGACGATACTTTAGGTAATGTACTACTGATGGGTTCTGCGTTGAGAATGAATTATTTAGTACCTTATAGATGGGACAGGGTATGCTTGCGCTGGGCACAATAGTGTCACGCTATTCCCGTGTAGGCTTTCGAATGCGTGACTCTTATCCATTGTCGGAAATTTCGGCTTAACACTACCAACAGGTTCTACAAAACAATCAATAATGAAACCACTGACCTGACGAATGTTTAGGATAAAGTTTATTGAACGATTAAGTACCTGTAGCTGGGAACAGGGAAACTCTGTGCCGGACACAATAAGGTCGAACTATCGCTAATTGAAGTTTCCACGGTCTGGATTTTCGAAGTGCCAGCAGTCAACCGCGGTGCTACACTTCCGACGGGTTCTACCGACGACAAGAAAAACAAATAGAACAAAGTTTGAAAAATTACCTGAATCTGGGTAAAGGAGACGCTTGGAAAGGGCACAAGAGAGTCAAATTTGTCCCGAATCTGTCAGAGACGGTTCTCGACTGATCGCCGGACGTTAGTTTGGGGGTTACGCTTCCGACGGGTTCTGCAAAATTCGTAAAAATGAGAAAGGTACCGTTGCTTCAACAAAATAAGCATCCTTGCATCTATTACCTGTAAAGCGGCGCCGGAAATGCTTGCGCAGGACACAGAATCGCAAAAGTGTTACCGCTCATGTACTTATCGACAGTGGGAAATTTCGGTATGTTAGGTCTTACGCTTCCCACAGGTTCTGGACAAGAACATAGAATTAGAAGTATTACCTGTATAGAGGGACAGGGAACGCTTGCGCAGGACACAGTAACGTAAGTGCCGAGTTACTCTTCGACACGAAACCTCGCAAATTGTCGGTTGCTGGGAATTTAGGTAACACGCTTCCGACTGGTTCTATTGGGAAAAATATTTTAACAACGGCTGGATTAAATGGGCAGTTTCAAAACCAAAATTACCTGTATCTAGGTACTGGAAAAGCTTGAGCGGGACAAAGAAGGGTAAGGCTTTCTTCTAAGTGGCCTTTGAAAGCTCGAGAAGTATCGGTTGTGGGAAACTTAGGCAACACGCTTCCGATCGGTTCTGATACAAAACAAACACCAATAAATAAAAAGTTCAAAAAACAATACCCGATGTTGGAATAAGAATGTTCAAGTAATATACCTTGTAAGAGGTACAGGGTAGCCTTGGGCCGGACACAACAAATTAAGACTATCGTTTCGTGAATATATGTACTCCTTTCTAGTTTCCAATGGAAATTTTGGAATAACGCTTCCAACAGGTTCTAAAATAAACCAAAACCTTACCAAGAATATTTACAATTTCTGCCAATGGACACCACGATTTAAACTTACCTTGCACAAAAATTACCTCTAAAATGGATCAAGGGCCAGGGTACCCAAAACAATCTAACGAAAAAGTACAAACCTGTGAGAACCTCGACAGATAGGTTTGCGGGAACGAGAAGACTAGGATTTGTGGATAAAAGGACAGGTACTGTTGTCTTTAACATTGTAATTTTTTTTAAATTTTGAAAGTGCCCGTTTGTGAAGCAAGGGTACCCTATCCCAACATTCAGGTAAATTTATTCAACAACGATGATGAAGAATTGATCAATGCTTCACCAAAGTCATGTAATGAAATTAAAGTGTTAGTAAATTCTGCGACACAGTTGAATGTAGCATAATAAAATTACAAGTCACAGAAGTCACTAATTGTAGGCGAAAATTCCTCCGGGAAAAGCGACTCTTCTTAAAAAGAAATTCCCAGAACAATTTTCCTCTATAAAATCACGTATAGTTAAGTATATTATTTCGTTGTCTGCTGTCAGGCTTTCAGTGAATTAATTTAGTAATTTATGAGAGAGGGATGATACACGTCAGGGTACGCCTATGATCATTACGAAAACGAACCATAACGTCGCGGGAGCCTAACCAATTGTAATTTAGACAGCAGACAACGAAATTCTTGGATTCGCTGACCACTTGAATTCCATCATTGTAATAATGGTACAAATGCGTAACTCAACATCCTGCTCTGCAAATATGCGCCCGAAGAATACAAACAATTAAAATAATTAAACAATATAAACATTTTTAATTAGTGCCATAAACGCTTTCCGTATTAAGCTACTACATATTTACACAACTATTCAAACAGGAAATTCAGTTTAGTTATGCCAGGAATTTATTACGTGATGTACACTGAATTTTTTCCAAGAACGATATCAGTTTTCTTTAAAAATACCATATGCTGCTTTAGTTTGGAAAAAAGGTGTTTTTGATGTTTAAAAATAGAGTTCGATCTAATTTTGTGAACGACCGACAATGGTTAGAGGAAACCCGTTTTCCAGAGCGTGTAATGATGGAAAGCAAACTGGCATGTTTATATTAGTAATATATTCTTGACACATTTATTGTCACACTCCATATGTATGATTGCAAATGTTTTTCGGAAGGTCGTTTATTAACATTTTCGAATATATTACACAGTGAAGAAGGAACAGAAGTTGTAGATGTGATTTGTGTGGGAATTCAAGTGGCCGTTGAAGTATGACGGGAATAATAAAAAGTCAAACCACACATAAGTGAATGATCGTTATAATGAATTACTACTTATATAGAATACTAAGCACTGTGTAATCGTTGCTTAACAGTTTGACTTTTTATCACTCTTCGTAAGAATGCCACAATTTTTCGAAATGTTAGCCGCCAGACTTAACCGTCTTCGACAAAACATCGATCAGCTCTATTTATACATCCATTATCGTTCTAATTTTTTCAATTGTAGTATATGATACAAGTACATGCATCAATTAGCCTCGACTAATTAAAACCTTACGTCATAAATGAAACTAACAGATTGTGAAATATCGCAGTCTAAAACAGCGTGGGCTGCTTTGAATTTTTTAAAACGCCCTCACGCACACTAATAACCCTTCTTCAAAAGTTTGACAACGTAGAGGAAATAACTAATAAATAATCTTTATGGGGTCATTGTCAGTCAACGCTTCGTTTCATATTCAGTGCGTAACTTCGTTTTTATCTAACTTTCTCCCAAAATTTGTGGCATTCTCACTTTGCTGTATTCAACATTAAAAAACACTTACCCGTGATGACCAATCTACCCTTCGTGGCGCTAAGTCGTGTTTCTCCGGTAAGTCTATGTTTGGTGCGGCATTGGTAGGATTTGTATCCGTCTTCCGGTCCGACGTCGCGAATGTGTAATTCTCCAGATGGCAAAACGAGGTATTTGCTATCTGAACACACGAAGAAAACACATTAGGGTTTGTAATGAGATCATTCAACGATCTTAATTTTCAACAAGTAGAAAATTATGGGTTTAGACTTGATGAAAATTAAGACGGTTGAAATATTTAGAAGAGTATATTTGCGGGTTGAAATACGTACTTCAAGTGTCATTGATGTGAAGAGAAACAGAAAGTGAAAGAAAGGAAAATGAGTCTCACCATAATCATTTGTATTAATATACCGTGCAATTAAGTTCAGTTTACACTGACGGGGCTAAAGCACCATGTGAGCTCAGATACTAAACAGAATTAGCTTCATGAAAATAACGTACAAATTATATCTTTATCAGCCCACGTACGTTTAGCACAACACGGTGAACAATGTTTGAGAGATCGTATCGCAAACAGAGGTAGTCTGAACTCACTAGGAATACCTAAAATAATTTATGAGTGATTCGGCTATCCATACTCGTGTTAATACATTCTGGCTTGCCATTTTAATTAGTCTTTTTGATAATTAAAGTCCATTAGAAAATTAACAAATTATTTTACCACTTGTTTTTCCAGGGGGAATTTATCAATTATTTTTTCTTTAAAAACGGAAGTCGAAGCAATAAATTTTTGTTCAGTTCACAAACACACCAACAGTGAATTTAAAGCAAATATTTACAGTAAACTTTTGTGCATCTTTTTACCACGACTTATTTCCAAACATCCTATATTGAATTTAGCCGTAAGACATGTCCTTCAAATGTGTTTTTTTTTTAAACAAATTTTATATTTAGTTCAATATCCAGCAATAACTTTAGAGATACTAATTATAGCCGTAAGTAAACCATCTGTACTTGGGTCAGATTAATAGCAATCCCAGTTACGGCTAAGACAGTCGACGTCTAACATGTACTGTAGACTCGGGTTTGTTTAGTCAATTTAAACTAATTTCAAGCTCAGGTTTATAGAAGAACGTCTTGGTTGATTTCAAGAGTATCAGCTAACATGGTATTTCAGTTTTTTCAAATAGAACACCTTATATTCTATTTTAATTTATTACAGCCCCTTACGCTATTTTTTGTTCTTTCCCTCTTTGTGTCAGCGTATCCGTTAAAAAAGTAAAAAAAATCAATAACTATCAACTTGAAAAACAGAAAATATTTCATAAAAAAAAAAGAGAACAAAAAGTAGAATAAGCAGTAATAAAATACAGGACAGTTGTATATTGAAACCCCATTTTATTTAAGTCTACCACAATAAAACGCATATCTTTATTTATTTCTGCACAAAATACACACTTTGATCCACATTTTAAAAATAACCCTATACAATTTTTTTGTGAATCCGTTTTTGTTAAAAAAAAAAAAATAAAAAAAATTGGAACGACTTGGCAACTCGCATCGAAATTTTGAAGGTTTATGGTTATACAAACCAAGGAGGGTTTAATCATAATAAAAATATATAGGGCATTCTATCTGAAAAAACGAAGTTGCATGTTACGCCTTAAAAACAGGACACTCTGTATAGTTGAAAAAATTTTAATACATGGGTCCCCAAAAAACATTGACACAAAAGTTAGTTTCGGCCTCATTTTTTCGAAAACTCCTACCATTCTTCTAGAATCGCCCATTGAAATATGTATTGAAATTTTTGGATTAAAAAAAAAAGATTTCCAAACCAAACTTTTCTAAAATCTCTGGGACCATAAACACGTTATATTTTTGGAACATCATGTTAAAATCTATATCCCAAAATTTTTTGGCCAGTTTTTCAAAAACAAAATCTTTTGACACCCATTCCCCCATGAAAATTTTCGACAAATTTTCGACCATTTTCGAAATTTAACTAAAGTTATTTTCCTATAGATTTCGATCTCTAGAAGTTAATTCGGCCTCATTTCTTCGATAAGTCCTACTATTTTTCCAGAATTGCCAATTAAATAAAATCTTGCAATTTTTGGATTACCACCTTGAAATCTATATCCCGGAATTTTTTGGAAACTTCTCAAAAGCAAAATTTTTCAATAACCTTTCCCCCTCCCCTATAAAAATTTAAGCCAATTTTCGTCCATTTTTGAAACGTAACTGAAAGCATTAAAATTGAAATTAACGTACAATTATATATTTTCAACTATAGTGAGTGTTCTATCTTTTAAATGCAACATAAAATGTATTTTTGATGGACTGCAAAAATAATCGAGGAAACTAAAATAGCTTGAGAATATCTTATAAGTATTTCAAACGTAAAATACGTTTGTAAATCCTAAGAGGCGGCAAGTTAAGATATGTAAAATGATTAGGACGTCCCAGTACCTAAAAAAAGAGACTGCGTCGTATGTTAGTCAAAAGCAGAACACTCCGTATAATTGAAAACAAAAATTAAGATATGCTGTTTAGAGCCGTAAACCTCTTGGTCTTGACTACTGTTTCAATTCCAATAACTTTCAATCTATTTACGTACATTTTTTAATACACAGTAATGTTCAAGTAAATGTATTTTTTCACTGAACAAAGCTTGATTTTCCACTTTAATGAAAAAATATCTGACAAATTGTTTGGTGACGTCTTGCTTATTTAGTTGCTTTAAAACAGTTGTAAACTTTGTCCAGAATTATAAGAATTTTATGGACTCCCAACGTTAATTCGTTTTACAACCCTGTCGTCAATTCTATTGTACAGGTAAAGAGCCTGTCAGGAGTAAGCCGATGTTTTCTGTACCTGAGTTCGCCACGCTCTTCAGCTGTACAATAAAATTGACAACAGGGCTGTAAAACGAATTAAATTTGGGAGTCCATAAAATTCTTATAATTGTAGACAAACTTTACTTGCATTGTTGATCTCGTCAAACTCTAAGATGCCGAACCGCCACTGGAGCAGAGAAATGCAATTTCTTCTGTATTAAAGCTTTGAAAAGGACTATTCGGAATTCTTTAACTTTTTAATTTCCAAACTTTTAAATAAAAAAATATTTCTATTCAACAACAACTCTGACGTGTGTGTGGCCAACAAGTCGGACTTTTAATTGCTTAGTTGGCACAATGAATGCAGCCACATGTGCGTAAACTGAAATTAATCTTACTGTATTTCATGATCCAGCGCTTTGACTTCAGCCCATATTGACACACTTCATCATTATTGGCTGCTGCCATTCGCTCACTTGAATTACGTATTTGAAGAGGCCAGCTTTTAATTATCCCTACAATCCACTATTAATTCAATATATTTTGCTCCATTTCGCCGAGTTCATTAGAAGTCGGCCTCTGCTCATTAAATCTATCGGGAAAAGCAGGTTAAGTGGAGGGGTTAAGAAGGAGAGGGTGAGGAAGCGACGGGAATTCCAGTAGCCCAAGTAACGTCTTCCATCATCAAAAAATGCCAAACCGACAAAAAAAATCCAGTCTCCGAGAAACCACGTTCGATCAAACCCCTCAAAAACGAAACTTTGCGTCGATGCCTTCGCGAATCTTGTCGATAAAGGTTAGATTGACAAAACACACAAAAGAATTTAATTTAAAGACTCGTTCAACGCACCGTACTGATCGTCCTTGGTGACAATTTCGTGCTTGTCGTCGTCCTCCAGCCAGGAGACGACATACACGTAGTCGCTGACAAAACTGGGAATGTGACACTTGAAGATGGCAGTGTTCCCTTTTAGGACGCTCTCGTCCATCACATTAGCGTTGTAAGTTTGTGAAACAACTGGAAAAAATTAGTCGCTGTCAGTTTCTTAATGACCGACAATTGGGAAAGCAAACAAGATAACAAGAAACAATGCTTAAACATTCAAGTAATGAAAGAGGGTGTAATTATTATTAAATGAGACACGCAAATGCTGGAGAAAATCGACTGCGATTAAATATTCATTGTGGGAGCCTTGTAGAGCTGCCTGTAGACGCCAATCGAAGGGTCTGTTGGTTGGAAAACTTGAAGGTGGATCTCCTGCGTGGGCGGCGTCGATAGAAATCCGCGTTATCAAAATACGGTGGTTGCGAGGCTGTGTCACTCGGGAGAACGATGGCAATCATAATCACATTAATCATTAATCTTCTAGGGTAATAGATTTTAGCGAAATTAAAAAAAAAATCAATATGTCATTTTCGTGAGTGAGCAATTTCATTAATCGTTATTGAAACATTAAGTTTTCATTAGCGTCTCAAATGAGTAATATAGATCAACTGAATAAATTGATAAACCGTATTCAGAAAAACAGCATGCTTCATTTACTGCTTTATTAATAGAATGTAGAACAATAGTGCTTGTTGATTGTGCTAACTTTATTGTGAATTATTCATCTTTGATGTTCGTTAAAAATAAAAATACGACCAGCAATTTTTTCCAGAGTTTTTTAGAAATATGTATGGTATCCTTCAACTTCTCACAACTCTTTAACTGCTAAAATATTAATTAGTTAGTTTTATTTTTCGTATTATTTTAATACAGTGCTGTTGTTGTGTAATTTCACTCAGATTTTTGTTAAAGTGATTAAAAAGATTATCTTCATATCCTTCTGTTCATTAGGAATCTTCAATTTTCAGTGTTTTGGCTACCTCAAATTTATTTCACTTTCAGTTTTTTCGGTTTATGTAGATGTTTTTAAATTTACAAGCTTTCGACAACATTTGACTGCAGTTGGTTAGAATTTCTTTGATTTGAAGTAACGCGAATTTCAGTTCTCCAAGTTTTGCGAAATTCGCAGAAAATAGAAATGTGGAATCCGATTCGTAAGTGTCTTCCAAGTTTACAGGATTATAAAATATTTCAAAATATTTAGATAATCTGTTCAATTTCATTTAAACGTAATTTTTTAGTCTTGAAGATGTGCCTGATGATCCAAATTATTCACTTTGTTAAAAAACGGGCTGAAGATCGAATAAAACTTAACAGAAATGTTTATATTTTTTTACCGAAAAAAAAAATAATCTGATTGATTACTCCAAATATAGTGTGGTTATGGCTTAATTGTTACTTAACTTGCGGTAATTTTTACAAGGTCGTCACACCGGAGGCAGTAAATCCCTGGGAAGACCTTCTATTGTAAGATTGACAAATCAAAATTATTTCAATACCTAACTAGCTGTCTGTGTTGCTTGTATTTTTTTAATTTTATGTGTGATCCGCTGTAAAATACCTACGAACTTATCTTTCAATTTTACTTTGGGCCTGTTTTTCTGTTTTTTTTTTGACGTGATAACGTCTTATAAATCGATGGAGCCGGCTGCACGCTCGAAAAAGCATGACTCATACCGTTACTGTCACGTTCCATGTAAGGCTTGAAGTGCAAGCGAGAACGCGGAACGAGCGACAAAGAGGCACAATCGGCCTTCGCGTTCGGCAGCGTTCGCCATCCGTCTCTCTCCTACTTGAGTGAGCGATGCGTCTGCGTGGACAGCTGCTATATTATAGTACATTTACATGTTTTGGTCGAGTATCAAGTGCAGTGAAAAGTGAATGTAGTGTCAATTTTGACGTGACAACGATAATATTTTAAGAATTTTATTTAAATTCTTTCGAACGACGATTTATTTTGCAGAACTGCTTACAAACGCACCATGGAAAAAAAGCCTGACAAACCAGAGGATGTTACGAATAAGCCTTTACCTTCAATGAGTGAACCCATGGATGTTCAAGATGCTGTAGCATTTACTTTAGCAACGCCATTCGCGCAGCCAATAATCGCTGCTTCAAAATCAAAAGCCCAAAACCATTCCATCAGTATTTTCTTAAGACGTTGTCACGTTCAACTATCGTCAGTAAACCGACTTTACAGACAACCGAGTTTTTTTTTATATATTTTTTTTTATTTCCATCGATTCACTTCCTTTCCAAATTTTTCTTGACTTGAATTAAACTCGCTTTTTTGAATCTTCTTTTTTTTAAGTTTACTTTTAGTGTTGAATTGCTTTCTTGAACAACACAATCTGGATTATATATATGTTTCATATAATATTGACTATGTATAAGTTATGGAATTTATTGAGTGTTCAAATACTACGTTTCTCTTTCGTAGACTCTATAATTTTTCCAATTTTCTGTTAAATCTATTCAAATGTTTTTCTTTCACAACTGCGGTATTACTTAACTCATCATACTTATCACATTATAATTTGGTGATTCTTTCGAGATACTTCTGTTTGTATTGTATTTTCTTCCAAATCCTTTGTTCACCTTTTCAATTTCATTTTAATATAAAACACTAAGCACGCGGTCTCCAAAGACCCAAGTTGTACCGTTGTAAAGTCCTTTGAGGACCATACTCTAAAATTATTTTTAATTATAAAGAGCGTTCTATTTTTAAGACGTAACACGCAACTTAGTTTCTTTAAATGAAACCCGCTGTATGTTATTACATAATTATTCTCATTAGCCTATTCCTAGGCTTTATAATTATACTTTACTTTTGAAATACCGATGCGACGTTGCCAGGTTATTCCAATTTTCTTGAAATTTTTTGGGAAAGTTCATAAAAAATCCCAATAGCGTTATTTTTAAAATCTGTGTTACAATATTTTGTGGAGGGATAAATAAAGGTATGCGCTTTGTTGTGGTACCAATTAAATACAATTTTAATATACAGAGTGTTTATAAAAAATTCTAAAACTACAATTTTCAAATATCGATATTTCAGTTTTCTCGCATAGAACACCCTGTATTTTATTACTGTATCTCATTCTTCCAATATGACGATGCGTTTCTTAAACAAGTAAAAAATTGCAGTAACTATCAATTTTAAACATAGAGAAAGGACAAACATTGAATAAGATACAGAATAAAATAGACAGAAATAGATTCGATATTTGAAAATTGTAGTCATTAAAAAAAAAAATATACCCTCTATAAGCATATTTAATTCTATTTGTACCACAACAAAACGCAAACCATTAATTCTGGTACAAAATATTGTAACACAAATTTAAAAAAAAACCCTACTGAGATTTTTTTGTGAACCCTCCATTGCTAAAACAATTCAAGAAAATTTAAATAACGTGGCAGAGTCGCATCGGAATTTCAAAAATAATCTGGTTATAAAGCCTAGAATATTTGATTTAAAAAAACTAAGTTGTCTGTAACGCCTTAAAAATGGAACACTCTGTACAGTTAAAAATAATTTTAGAGTATATCAGTGATTCACTTTTAGCTTTTTCGGAACTTCTTACAGTGTGAATTAACGCAGATTGATTTTTTGTTTTAATTAATTTGGATTGAACTCATTACGGACAACTTGACCCAGCACAATCATGTCTATTTCATTTATTTATTTATTTTAATTCACAAACAGTTCAAATTTCTAAAATTTTCTAAATTGGTTTTTGTGGACAAATTTTAGACGTCGAACATTTTTGTATTTCATCTCATTTTTTCATTTCTAATTTTCTGTCGTTTTAAACAGTCTATGGAATTTTGTTTTGCCAAAAATTTTTAAATTTGAGAAGAAACATTGCCACCTTGACGAAAGATGTTTTTTTTTTGAAGACTGAGAGCACAAAAAGAATAACACTAAACAATATTTTCACGCACCAATTTCTAAAAATACAGTCCAACTTCTATATGTCGAACCTCTATTAGTCGAATAAAAGTGGTCTTTCTCCTACCCACGACATTAGAATTAAAAGCTTTAGATCAAAGCTTTATAAGTCAGTATAAATTATAGATCTAGAATTAAAAAAGATGTGTTACGTAGCTGTGAAACTTGCAATGAGAAACCCAAAATTGATCGTTTGGAATGCGTAAAAACTGTATCGTCAGTATGGAATGCTGACATTAGTGGAAAAATTGCTGCCTTAAGGGTGGCGTCTGGTTCGGTTTCGCCCAATACTAAATACATTGAAAACATCGTCGTAGTTTCCGGAATTGCATTTTTAAAATACTGAAATCTCCAACCAAGTCAGAATCTAAGTAAACCTGTATTCTGCTACCGCATCATAGCTCGTTTAATGCCGATTTCTCGTTTCAATAGATTTTGACTTTTCGCGAGTTATTTACCTTAGTCGTGGATTTTTTAATATTATAAATGGTATCAAAAGAAAGCTGACACTTTTCCCCAGGGGACCTCCTATCTCAGAATGCAAAAAACTTCAGCACTTCGTAAAAAAATGCATTAATGTGCCGGTTAAAATGTGATGTAAAAGTTGTTCAACTTTATAATTTTTTTTTGTAAAAACTGCATACTAGATATGAATATTAATATGGAGGTCCCCTGGACTGAAGTTTGTTAATTCGAAATATAATTTTTTTAAAGCGATATATCTCATATTTTTAAAATGCAACTCCGGAAACCGCGACGATGTTTTCAATGTATTTAGTATAGGGCTAAACCGAACCAGACGCCAGCCTTAAAAAGACTGCTTTTCGAAAGCACAACTTTTATGATTCTGACGATAATATTCTATCAGTAGAACTGAAATAAAAAATTAATACCATAGAGGAAGATTGTCTTGACAAATTTTATCTTGAAGTAAAATTAAACATTTTTTTGGATATTTATAATGTAAGAGATATGTATTTTATTGACTTTTTGGTAATCGACAATTCATAGTGTGAAATTAGCTGCAACACAGGCAGAAATGTCCAAAAAGCCCATGCGTCAAAATTTAGAAACTAATTATACAGGCTGTCCCAAAAATGACGCAAGAGCTCGATGGTACGTTGTTAAGAAGGATTTGAAGAAGTCGAAAAATAAAATTGTTACAAAATCCCTGAACCAAATATTTGAAAATATTGAACTTGACAGTTGAAGAATTAACTTCGTAATTCTGATTTCTTTTAATGAACTGTATGTCTAATAGACTAAGTTAAATAATTAATTAATTTACTAATAATTTGCTAGACTACGATCATTTTTTACTGTTTTGATCGGAATTTTAGATTGTCAATTAAATTCACAATAAAACGTACATTGGTTTCACCACTTTTTGAAGTACTTTAGAGCCTTACGTACGCGTCATTTTTAGAACAGCTTGTATATAATTCATACAAAGAAAATTAAATTAACATAAAAATTGTAAGGATAAATAATAATAAAACTCAGTTTCTAATAGTTTGTTTTAATTTTTTTTAATTCTAAATTTCTGTAACTCGAAGATTCGATTTATGGAAGTTCGACTATACCATAAAAAATAGATATTACGCTAATCAACTGATAACTAATAATTGTGAACTAATAAATAATAATAGGAGTAGAGTCCATGGTGGTGTGTGATGTTCAGAGTTTTGTGGGCAGTATTAAGCCAAAAAGCCACGAATTAAAATTTAGGCAATTTGAAATTTTCCGTCACTTTTGACATTTTCTTTATCGCAAATAACGACCGCATACAGCCCACTGGAACTTTCCCGGATGCTCATTACCGCTATATTTATAACATGTTACAATGACTTCAACGGAACAGCCTCGCGGAAAACTTTTGATCGTCCGTTCAGAATAAATTCGCACCGACCCCTCCAGATTCGATCGGTGAATCGAATCGGTGTTTTGCCACGTACGTCAATCGCCAGGAGCTGGATGGAGAGTGCATTGGACTGAAGGATCAACAGGTGGAGTTTCGCGTAAAAAGTACGCAGTGAATGCAAGCTAGATACCGTAATCGTCAACGGGAGGCAGAAATTTGTTGTTAGCCGTGTCCTGCCAGGAAATAATGTCCACATGATCGGAGACGAAAGACGGTATCTGACACTTGAACACAGCCGTGTTCCCCTTGATAACGAACACGTCGTAAACTTGAGCTTCGTAATATTGATTAACCACTGGAACAATCGAAAGGAAACTTAATAGCGAGCGATATTCGGGGCTGAATTGGGAGGAGGGTGCTGCTTTTCACGTTCCGATTGGCAATTACCCTGCACTTGGGGTAAATTCGGGTCGTATTCGTAGACGATGCCGTCGTCGGCCACCCAGGCATCGACCTGGACGAAGTCTGTGACGAAGCTGGGGACGAGGCATTTCAGGATGCCTGTGTTTCCTTTGAGAACGAACTCGTCGATCACGCGACTTTGGTAGAACTGCTTCACGACTGCAAACAGAGACTTGTTCTAGCTTGGAGATAAGTAATTGAGTTAACGTGTTCCCTGTATCGACCTTATCGATCAGTCTGTGGGTCTTTGTGGCCAAAATGTTTGATTTAACTAAATTAATTTGCCATCAACTATTAAATGTACTCCTTGTAAACAGGATAATCGCTTCAGTCTCCAATATTTAACGTATTTACGGTTGTGATTTATTTTTAGCATTCTTGTTTTTGATGCTGGCATGGGAAGTTAATTATTTGTACGTTTACAGCACAGAAATAAATAAACCACACAGGAAAAAAAAACGAAAAAATTAAAAATTAAAATGGTCTCACCGCTGTCTGATCAAAAGCAATCCCCAACGAAGAAACATTCAGCACCTCTCAGAAATTTTTTAGAGATACCTAAGTTTATACTTTCCTTAAAATACGACCTATACCGCGTACAAAATGAATATAAACTAACGTGCCAAATGATACAATATGTTTATTATTAGTTAAAAAAATTTGAAAGCCAAAATATCTCTATAGGACACCTTAAAAGCTTTATTTTACATATTAAACTGATGTTATCCGTTGGGGTGACAATAATATAAAGTTACAAAAATTTAATGGAACAACAATATGTTTCTTTATTATAACAAAATAAAATTTCAATTTTTACTTCTTGAGCGTAAACTAGGGGAGTACATATTGTAATTCATGTTTTCTTGACGTTTCATGGTTCTTGCAACATATGAAAGTAGGTCTTTCCGCCTTCGTCTGTTGATCTGTTGTCTATTGGCCATTTTATTAGATAGATGATGTCCGAAACTACGGTTCTTGTGATTCTTGTGGAATTATAGATGTTTTTAAAAATTTACGTTAACATAATTGAGAACATAAGAGATATACAAAAGAGGTTTGTTAATTTTTCTTATTTTAAAATTAATATTTTACTTCCTGAGCGTAAGCTAAGCAAGTATTCTAATAGGACCCACCCGACGAATCGCTGCTTTCTGGTTTTCTCGACGTTTTATGACCCCTAGAGTAAGAAAAAGTATATCTCCCGTTTCCGTTCGTCTGTCTGTATATCGTCTGTGTCAATTTTTATTAGACAGATAATCTCCAAAGCTACTGGATCGACTGTTGTGAAATTCTATATATAATCTCTAATCATCCCCACCAACAATGGGATGACGTCATCTCCAAAATTTACCATACTAAATTTATTATTTAAATTTTATAAAATAAGATACTCTTGCCTGTGTAATTTATGAATCCGTGTTGAAGAATTACCTTGGAAAAAAATCACATTTGTAGAACAACATTTTACAATTTAACTTTGAAATGGCAAAATTGAATGCTCTGAAATATTACGGTTACGGTTGTCGTAAGCATATTGAATACGTCCTTCCAAAAAAATTGATGACGTCATCTCAAAATTTTGCTGAATAAATCTTGTCTAAAATATGCAAAATATTATAACTCTTTACTTATGGTTTATCAATGAATTCATAGTTTTTAATACACTGTACCTATGCAAATGGATATATCTCTTCCATAAAATGTTGATGACGTCATCACAAAATTTTGTTACGAAAAAATTCACTTGAAACATACGCATACCTTTACTTAATTAGTCCACACGTATCTTTATTTTGATTTATGGGGTTTATCATTAAATATTTCAAAATTAAACTTTATAATTTTTTGAAGAAGCCCTATTTGTTCGACTGTTTTTAGATACGAGCGAAGTTCTGTCAAAATAACCTTCGACCAATTTTTTATTCTGGTGACGAAGTAATTTTAGCTTATTTTACCTATTTATTAAGTTATTGACAGTTCTCCAGTTGTTAAACTAGTTTAGTGACAGGTTTCAAATCATTGTAGTCGTTCCTACACCTTTTGAGTATTATATTTTATACGAAGTTGTATGGTTTAAATTCTACCATATTGTCGCTTAAGTAAATTAACTTTTTGCGGAAAGAATTTTAATTTGTAGGATTTTTTAAAATATCCTACTGCTTTGTAACTGATTGCCATGGACTGTCAATAAATATTATTACTACTATTATAAAAAATCAATGCTAGCATCTTTCTAAAATTTCAAAAAAGTTGGTTTTGTAGTTTTCAAAGAAATCTTATTTGCAGTTTCTGAAGCTAATGCAAATTTTCCTTGTATGCAATTTTCACTCTTTTTCTAAAAAGTTACACCCATAAAGTCACAACGACAGCTATAGGAACCCATTATACCGGATAATTTTTTTAATTTTTGCTCTAGTTACTCACGACGCTTACGTCAGTAATGAAACTTGCTGCGTAACTTGAAGGGTGTATGTTGGGTTGCAGGTAACAGCTAGCATCGTAGCCACAGCCAACATAAACGTAACTTCTATCTTGTTTTGGTTGTTTGCATATGTCGTTTTGTTAACCCTATAGTTTTCTCGGTTTTTAGCAAAAATCTGTAATTTGAGATTACATTTCGTTTGTAACTGAATCAAGGGTATTCGAGAACTTTTCAACTTCAATAAAGAATAATTTTAATCTAATTATTTTCAAGACACGCCTCTACATGCAGAAAAAAATGCTGTTTCTAGGAGACGTTCTATGGACCCATTTTCTTTGAAGAATCAATTACAGCTGCGCGATACCAGAATATGCTGCAGGAATTCATTACCAACTTGATTCTGAGGAAGTTCAAACTGGCTTTTTTCAACATGACAGCACAACAGCTCATACAGCAAAAACGACGTTACCATCTTTAAACAACCGATGCATATAATCGACGACTTAATAGCCCGAATTCGAAAAGAGTGTAAACGAATAACCCCAGATTCTTGTCTGAGTGTTCGAAAATATAAAACTAACAGTCAGTTTGTGTTTAAAAGCTGGGAATCAACATTTCGAGCAATTATTGTAAAAGATTTTGTATGGTTTTTTAGAACATTTGAAATCTTGATGACATCAACTTTGAATGCCCTAACTTTTTATAAATGACGCTAGATGTACAGGCAACCCAAAATTAGTCCAAGTTACGAAACACATTTCATTGTTGACATAAGTATCATGGGCTACTAGAATAGAAATTTAAAAAATCACCGAATACACATCTTAAATAGGGGACAAAATTTACTTAGCAGCACTTTAAAATGACGTTACCAAATGTTGGGTAGGGATGATCAAATAAATTTTGCTCAGCATTTTACCAACCGCACGATAATCATATTACACACCTAAAATTCCACAATTTTTAGTCTAGTAATTTCGGAGATTATCTGTTTAGTAAAACTGCCAGTAGTCAACATACAAACAAAAATGACGGGCCCATTTTTCTCATATTCTAGCGCCTAGAATGAAACATGACGAGAAAACATGAAATTAGCAGGATGCAAATAAAACATACAGAAACTACCTTATAAATTACCTACGTGTCTAAATAACTTTACACCAACTTTGTTTTTAGTTGTCTCAATTGTATGTGTATGTAGTTCCACATTGTTTAGTTGACACTATAATAAAGTTATTACCTTTAAACGAATTAATAATTCCTAAAATTTATGAAGCAGTTCAATTGTATATAGGTTTCTCGAACAGTCTGATCATGCTGATTACGGTAAGTCAGCAGCAAGTAGACTAGATCAGAGACTAAGATTATAAAATAACAGCGGACAATCAATATGTTGTAATTTTAGAATCTCGAACCTTGTTTCATTTCATCACTAATTTTTATTTAAACAAATTTAAGATGCTGTCTTAAAAACATCATGTATTTATTTTTCGAATAATTAACGAATTACAATAGGGAATTTTCAGAATTTCCGTCATATTTTTTTCCTGTGCCAAAAAACACGACTTTTGTAATAGATTTTTTTTCTTTTGTAGGTCAGGTCGGTCAATTTATTTATCCTAGAAGTGATTCACAGACGAATTAGCATGGTTATAATTTAAGCTAATCAAATACATTTTAGCCATGAAATACCCACAAATTCAACAAATAAGCGACTTATCACATCATAAGCAATACACTATAAGAAGAAACGCTGCTAGTCGTCGGCTTTGTTTACACACTCATAAATTCCAAAAACAATGCCATCAGAGATAACCCGATCATGAAGCTCTCCCTTCCTACGAGCTATCAAGATGTTGCTTTGTGTCGAAAAAGCACCAACTCATGCCGAAACCAACCACTTCATACCGTTCTATATCTATAGACTCTCCACCCTAAATCGTGAATTCGATGTTCTTTCACTCCATTTCGCGAAATCGCCGCTTTGCGGCATCGAACCTCATCGACTTTAAAAAAATCATTATGTACACGCAGCGGTATAATTTTGGATCATGGAATGTATACGTGTAGGGGATCGGAAGCAGGGTTTCCAGACGTTTCCTGACGTTTACCGTAGTCGTCTCCGGGCAAATAAGAGTCTCCATTGGAATCCTGCCAGTTTTCGACGACGACGAAATCCGAAACGAACGAGGGGACTTCACATTTCATCACCGCAGAGTTGCCGCGAATCACATACTCGTTGTCCGCCTCCACCTCGTACGACTGCGCTACAACTAAGACCAAACGGAAAAACGGTAACCAGCAGTTTAAATTAAGAAAAAAATCAAATCTTAATTGCCGCTGCAGATATTGTAAATGGAGCGCGGTTTTAGATTACGTCTCCCGGAGAGGAGATGAAAAAAGAACACATGGCACACATATTTAGCTGATGGGTTCAGGGTCTCTAAGATTGTTTTCATTAGCGATGAAGCCACGATATTGTGTTTCATGTCAGATTAGTGTCTTCTTTCGTTGAAAGAATTAGCGTCAAGAATTTTGTATGAAAGTGAAATTTTCCGTAATGTTGTTTACGAGAGAGAAAAGTGGGTGGTTGCGAAGGTGCGAAAAAACTTGAAGGAATGAAGAATAACCGACTTGGAGAATGCCTGAATTATTAATATTAATTATTTTTTCAATGGAAAATGTTTTCTCTCTAGAGTGAAGGGGGAGTACAAGAAATAATAAACTTCTTGATGGA